GGGTGAACTAGATTGCCTTGTTTTAAATGAAGATAGTGATATAATAGGTATCACAGAAACATGGTGGAATGAGGATAATCAATGGGAGACAGTAATACCAGGGTACAAAATATATTGGAAGGACAGAACAGGTCGTGCTGGTGCGGGAGTGGCACTACCTGTGAAAGATAGCGTAGAATCAAATGAAGTAAAAATCTTAAATGAACCAAACTGTACCATAGAATCTCTATGGATAGTAATTCCATGCTCTAATAATAAGAATATAGCAGTAGGGATATATTACCGACCACCTGACCAGGATGGTGAGAGTGACCGAAATGCTCACAGAGATTAGAGAGACTATTACAATAAAAAACTCAATGGGGGGATTTCAACTATTCCCATATTGACTGGGTACATGTCACCTCAGAATGGGATGCAGAGAAAGTTTCTTGACCCGTTTAAATGACTGCTTTTTGGAGCAACTAGTCCTGGAACCTACAAGAGGAGAGAGAATTCTTGATTTTAGTTCTAAGCAGAGTACAGGATCTGGTCCAAGAGTTGAATATCGCTGGACTGGTTGGTAATAGTAATCATAATATAATTAAATTTAACATCCCTGTGGTGGGGGAAACACCACAGCAGCCCCACACGGTAGCATTTAATTTCAGAAAGGGGAACTACACAAAAATGAGGAGGTTAGTTAAACAGAAATTAAAAGGTACAGCACCAAAAGTGAAATTAAATTAATTTTTTAAATTAAATTAAAATTCCTGTGTGACAGTTTGACTTACCACTGCGGCACCTCTTCTGGTGGTGTCTTGCCCATTGTCACCTCTGTTTCAGGACCCACATCACTCCCAGGACTGCGGCATCCTCTTCAGTTACACTGCCCTCCGGCTGTGCCAGATTCTATGTTCCCCCTTTTCCGGGGGGACCTGCAATCTACTGTCCGGCCACCCTCTTCAGTGGCAAATAGCAGTCCACTGTCTAGCCGCTTCCCACGTGGCTCCAGCACCCTCTTGCAACGGGGCCTCAGTCTGTAGATCTCTGCAGCCTGCCAGTAGCTGCCTTTAGCTCTCTGGGTCTCACCCTGCAGCACTGCTCTGTCCAGGGTGCTTGCTGATCTCCATCTGCAAGGCGGCCAGTCCTCCTCCTTTCTCAAGCTCCAGGGAGTGATTGACTCTGCTCTGTTCTGCAGCCCTTCTTATCTGGCCAGCCCAACCCTGATTGGCTACTCCTATAAGTTCTTCTGTGATTGGCTGCCTCCTGCACAGCCTCCCTAGGACTGCTTTTAACCCCTTTTCTGCCATACCCTGCAAGCTGAATGGAAACTTTTTAAAGACACCATAACAGAGGTTCAACTTAAATGTATACCCCATAGTAAAAGAACCAAAAAAAATACCACCGTGGCTAAACAACAAAGTAAAAGAAGCAGTGAGAGGCAAAAAGGTATCCTTTAAAAAGTGGAAGTTAAATCCTAGTGAGGAAAATAGAAAGGGGCATAAACACTGGCAAATGAAATGTAAAAAATATAATTAAGAAGGCCAAAAAAGAATTTGAAGAACAGCTAGCTAAAGACTCAAAGTAATAGCAAAAAAAATTTAAGTGCATCAGAAGCAGGAAGCCTGCTAATCAACCGGTGGGGCCACTCAATGGTCGAGATGCTAAAGGAGCACTCAAGGACAATAAGGCCATTGTAGAGAAACTAAATGAATTCTTTACATCAGTCTTCATGGCTGAGGGTGTAAGGGAGATTCCCAAACCTGAGCCATTCTTTTTAGGTGACAAATCTAAGGAACTGTCCCAGATTGAGGTGTCATTAGAGGAGGTTTTGGAAGAAATTGATAAACTAAACAGTAATAAGTCACCAGGACCAGAGGGTGTTCACCCAAGAGTTCTGAAGGAAATCAAATGTGAAATTGCAGAACTGCTAACTGTAGTCTGTAACCTGTCATTTAAATTAGCTTCTGTGCCAAATGACTGGAAGATAGCTAATGTGATGCCAATTTTTAAAAAGGGCTCCAGAGGTGATCCTTGCAATTACAGGCCGATAAGCCTGACTTCAGTATCGGGCAAATTGGTTGAAACTATAGTAAAGAATAAAATTGTCAGACACATAGATGAACATAATTTTTTGGGGAAGAGTCTATATGGATTTTAAGGGAAATCATGCCTCACCAATCTATTAGATTTCTTTGAGGGCGTCAACAAGCATGTGGAAAAGTGGAATCCAGTGACTATAGTGTACTTAGATTTTCAGAAAGCCTTTGACAAGGTCCCTCATCAAAGGCTCTTAATTAAATAAGCTGTCATGGGATAAGAGGGAGGGTCCTCTCATGGATTGGTAACTGGTTAAAAGATAGGAAACAAAGGGTAGGAATAAATGGTCACTTTTCAGAATGGAGAGAGGTAAATAGTGGTGTCCCCCAGGGGTTTATATTGGGCTCAATCCTATTTGCCCTTTTTTCCAGATCATTTATGAATATGTTAAATAGTGAGGTTGCAAAATTTGCAGATGCTACAAAACTACTCAAGATAAGTCCCAGGCAGACTGCGAACTAAGAGCTACGAAAAGATCTCTCAAAACTGGATGACTGGGAAACAAAATGGCAGATGAAATTCAATGTTGATAAATGTAAAGTAATGCACATTGAAAGCATAATCCCAACTATACATATAAAATGATGGGGTCTGAATTAGCTGAAAGATATCTTGGAATCATTGTGGATAGTTCTCTGAAAACATCCACTCAATGTGCAGCAACAGTCAAAAAAGCAAACAGAATGTTGGGAATCATTAAAAAAGGGATAGATAATAAGACAGAAAATATTATATTGCTTCTATATAAATCCATGGTACGCCCACATCTTGAATACTGCGTGCATGTCAAAAAAGATGTAATGGAATTGGAAAAGGTTCAGAAAAGGGCAACACAAACTATTAGGGGTATGGAACGGCTTCCATATGAGGAGAGATTAATAAGACTGGGACTTTTCAGCTTGGAAAAGAGACGACTCGGGGGATATGATAGAGATCTATAAAATCATGACTGGTGTGGAGAAAGTAAATAAGTGTTATCTACTCCTTTTCATAACACAAGAACTAGGGGTCACCAAATGAAATTAATAGGAAGCAGGTTTAAAGCAAACAAAAAGAAGTATTTCTTCACACAACAGACAGTCAACCTGTGGAACTCTTTGTCAGAGGAGTTGTGAAGGCCAAGACTAACAGGGTTCAAAAAAGAACTAGAGAAGTTCATGGAGGATAGGTCCATCAATAGCTATTAGCCAGCATGGGCAGGGATGGTATCCCTAACCTCTGTTTGCCAGAATCTGGGAATGGGCAATGGGTTGGCTCACTTGGTGATTACCTGTTCTGTTTTCTCCCTCTAGGGCAGCTGGCATTGGTCAGTGTGGAAGACAGGATACTGGGCTAGATGGACCTTTTGTCTGACCCAGTATGGCTGTTCTTATGTTCTTAAAAAGCAAAGCATGGAGGACATGAGGGAGGTGTGTTTCTAACACAAATACTGGGAGCTATTATTTTGATATATTTAGTTTGATAAAGGAATAGCTTTTTCCTTTCTATTCACCTAAAAAAAATTTTTTTTTTACTTTGGGAAAAAAACAATTTGAATATTTCAGTATCTTATTGTGCCTCTAACATAGGCATTTTGCATTTGGATTAAACCTGATATTATAAATGAAGAGCTGTGAAAGCTGAAATCATATTGATAAAATTGATATGCTGTAAGTGATATCCTTTAGCAAGTTCAAAAAATCAAAACCAACAGTTATTCTAGATTTAATGTTACAAATATCAAGTGATTACACCTACTGGTGAATCATTAACTGCATACTGGTGAATCATTAACACCAAAATTACGTCACCAAAATAATATAAAGATCCGCAATTTTACTACTTTGTGGTAAACTTTTATTTATTGTGATTTGATTGCTATGTCTTAGTAGATTTTAAACTACGTGGTAGATGCAGACAACTAATTTAAGCTTTGAACACTATCATATGCATTATATTTTATTTTCTGCTATCTCTTATTCAGTGAAAATGGAGCTTAATTTTACTTATTATTTATAAGAAGTCTCAAGTCTGTGCATTAGCTTTAAACTTGTATGTAATTTTAAAGTTGAAGTGTATTACAATTTTGGTCACAAAGTGCTAGAAATTGTCCTAGAAATGAGGATTTAACAGGGTGGTCCCCTGCAATTCCTTGACAACCTCAGTCACAGACCACAACCGCTCCACATCTTCTTAACCATCACCATTGTTAATTATATGTTATATTTACAATCAGTGGCCTGCTTCCCGACTTGCTTTTGGGGAAGAAGGGAAGCAGCAGGAAGTGTTGCTGCCAGTTCTGGCTACTTATGCCTTCCTTTAGGTTCACTAGTCTCCTCCCAGCGCTTCCTTCCAATATGTTTATATAGCCCTAGCTGCTGGGGATACTTCCTCCCAATTAGCCCCTCAGCAGTATCACCACTCAGTTAATCGGTCTCCTCTGCTAACTGCCTCCTTTCAGTCAGAGCTCAATTAATATAAAATGGGGGATTTGAGTGAGAGGGTGCTGATTTAGCTCCTTAGTCAGAACACCTGTTACAAAGGCATCTTCACATTTTTCTAGTTCTACTGTATAATAAAAACTAGTGATGATTTATAATTATTATTTTTTTCCAAATACAACAAATATACCAAAATACCACATTCATCATTATACACAACGTAAATAGAGTTAGGATAAACTGAGAGGACGGGAAGTGATATACCTACCTTCGGGGTCTACACTGATCATAGCTCTCTCTCTCTCTCTCTCTATATATATATATAAATATAAATTAAATAAAAAAAAACAAAAATCATCCCAAATTGCTTTGAATTTTCCAGGCATTCCTTTTCTGGAACGCCAGTCACTTGTTAGCTGAGAAGTTGGCCTTCTCTTTGAGCCAGGTATCAATGTTTAGTGGGAATCAACTTTTCAGTTTTTACAGGACTAATTTTTTAATGACCAAAACTGCACATTCCAAACACATTGCCTTGTTACCAGGCAACCTACAGATATCAGTAATATATCCAAAAAGTAAATGTAAGGAGGAGGGCTCCAACTGACCACCTAATATCAAACTGGTCCTTTGACCCATTTCATACCAAAAATTCTTGATATGGGGCACTCCCAAAACATACAAGCTAATGTAGCACCAAGAGAATTACATTTCCAACAGCGGTCAGCATTTATCAGACCCATTACAGTTGACCTATATTCAAATATACTGGTCTCTCATGTCTTTGGGTGAAAAAGCCATAGCCTCACCTCTCCAGATGCTTTTTAACATCAGATACAATTTTATTCCATTGGACCAGAGATAGTTGTGTATTCAAATCTCTACTCCAAGTAATTCTCAAGGTTTTTGGGGACAGAAAATAGTAAAAGAATCCCACTGGCTGAAAAAATCCAGGAAGTTTCCTCCAAAATAATAGTAGTTCTGGAGTTCCCAATACATCTGGTCCAAATACATACATACATTTCCCCATAAGGAAATACCTTAACTGGAGATATTTCTATGCTCCAGAGTAGGGCTAATCAAATAGTTACTGAAGATCTACAAATGGTTAAAATTGATATTTGTCAATTAGCTATGACACAGCCGGGATTCCTCTTCCATCCAATCCCTCCACATTAAGGCGTTGCCACTGATTTTAAGGATAGGATTGCTCCCTAGGACCACCACTACATGGAAGAATGGATGGAAGCAGAAATTTATAGCCAAGTTTGCCCATGCTTGCCTCACAGCCATTACTGTGGGAGCTTTGGAGCCATCAAATCTATAATAATTCAATGCTACAATGCCTGAAAAGAGGAGAGGATATACCAATGCCTGTTCGATCTTAACCAAAGGTGGGGTCTGTGTGGTCTTACTTAACAGCCAAAATGACGCCTGGCTTAATAAAAAGGAAACATGATGATTTTCCAAGTTTGGAAAATGAAATTGTCCCAGTGAAGAGGGAGCAATATTTCTTCGGGTTGGATGGTGGGATTTAGGAGACAACATTTGGGGATTCCCTGTGGGCCGCTTCAGAGCTCAAGCAACCTGCACCCACCTTGGTCATCACACCCTCTGGTCTCCTCTAGTGGTATTTTAAAACCAGAATGTGTACCCATATATCAGATGCAACAAAGCAAACATTGAACTTCTATTTTCACAGTCTTCAATAAATGGAACATCTTAAGAATTCCTTATGAGTTTCTGGAGCTTGGAATGTCTTACAATTAAGTCAACCAAACTGTTTTACTGAAAATTAATATATATTGTTTCACTACACAATATGGAAAGTTATTCATGAATTACTTTGTATATCTATGGTAAGTCCTTGTTCAATGGCATTATTTAGAAATATAAAAAAGTACAAAAGATGAAAAAAGACAAATATAAGTGGTTGAAATTGCTTCAAATCTATTTCAGTTGAAAACCTGGGTAAACGTATATTTACTACAAGATACTCTTAAGAGCCAACCATAATGCATTGGAGTGGTCTGGGAAAAGCATTATAAATGTATCTACAGACACAATAATACCTGCAGGGTGTTCATCCTCTATGGAAATGTCGTTTCATATCCTATCCATTAGATGAAAATACTTCACTGTTCCTCCAAGGTATTTCTACTGAAAAAAAGAAAAGCAGCCTCTGTGCTTTAGAAACTACTCAAATGACCTTGCATATTCAATTTTATTCAATAACCACACTATACAAGCTCTGCCACAATCTGTGTTCTAAAAATAAAGTGCACTGGAAGTATATTGTGCATGTAGGTTTGTCCCTGGTTCATATTAGAAATGGTGATAGAAATAGTTTTTAACAGAATGCTAAAACACTGGTGAACTCTGTAGTTTATTATTGTGGTCTAATGGTAACTCAGTAACTAATGTTACATTGGTCTTTTCATTTTAAAGGAAGTAACCCCTGATTTGTAGGGAAATGAAAACTTATGCCTGAGAAAACACAAAATCTGTTGTGCTTAAACTTCTTGAATTTTTGAGGGAACTAGCTGTTTTATGGTATTCAACTTATTTTTGTTACAAAAGGTGGTTTTCTGTTTTGTGTTTTGATGGGACAAAACAGTGAGTTGTAGCCTGGTTTGGAGCAGAACTGCCATGTGGTTTTAGTGTGTGACCTTTTCTTGGCTTGTTCCAAATGTAGGCACTCAGACAAGTGGTTGACCTGTTGAATTGGGACCCTGGCTTTGGAGGCTGAAACACCTCCTGCAACAATGATTGGGCCTTGCTTCTCTCTGAAATCATGGCTGTCTGCTGTGTCCCCAAGGTGATTCTGTACTCTGTCTTTTCTTTCTGTATTCCTCTTGTCTGCCCAAACACTACTGCTTTATGTTCACTCACATCCTTGTTGCTTCTCCTGCATTCCAGATAGAGAGTTGTTCCCTACCCCAAAATGAATTCCTCATAACACTAACAGCTGATGTTAGAGGAGAGGCTGCCACATCAGGACTGTTGGGAAAGGGCAAGGGAAAAAAAGATGACTGTTCGGGAAGAAAGCAAGGATATGAAAGCAGAAGCAGGGGTTCTCTTTCACCCCATTTACTTTCTAATATATCACAACCTACAATATTGAAAAACAACCAAAAATACAGCAACAAAACCTCACTTAGAATATACAATGTTAACTCATGGTTAATGTTAGTTAAAACCCAGGAAATACAAAGCTACAACACATCCTTGTTGTACATCTCTTCTCTTCCCTCCCCTCCCCCCCCCCTTTTTTTTTTGGTATTGAGCTGTTGAACCACCTTTTAGTGTGTTAAGTACTTCTTGCAGTTGATGGTAATATTAAAAAAAAAAAAAACTAGGGGAGAGGCAGGGTTTGCATTGCCAATTTTGGATGTCATCTTAGTTTTTTTCATTTTCAAATATAAAAACAGAAAAAGTTAATGAAAAATGGATATTTTTGAATGCTAACAAAGCAAAAATGGTTCAGTAATATTCATGCTTTTTTAAATAATATTTACTCCTCAGCTCCCGTGATGAGTTATGTGCAGTGTCCGTATTTCTAGACGGAAACATCTGCCTCCCAATATAAAATCCATTTGATTTGGGGTTTTGAAACATGCATGAAATCATAATAATCTCCCAAATTTGTCCCCCCCCCCCCAGGTTCAGAATCTCTCCCTAAAAAAGACAAGTGGGATTTAGCTTCCTGAAATGTTCCTAAACTGAGGTCTGGCCTCTCCCTTCTACCTCTTTTTTCCAATGTTCCCTGGTGATCCAGTCTACAATCACATGGTTCTTTGAGTCAATCACTCTGGCCTACATTCCCCCAGATGTCTTTGTTTTGGACTGAATTGGGGTCGTGCCTGTTTGTGTTTGCCATTGGGCTCTAATAAATGATTTACACAGCACTGGTCATCAAGAACTGAAACTCTGAGGTCACATTTCCTCATCTTCCTCTTCTGGATAGAAAAGGAGTAACAAAAAGGAAAGCAAAGGGAATTTAAAAAAAAAATCAAAAACCTACACTTTTTCATTCTTCTGGTTACGATTCAGCTAGGGTTGCCAACATTCTAATCACAAAAACCCGAACAACTTGCCCCGCCCCTTCTCTGAGGCCATGCATCCACTCTCTCCATCCCCCCTCCCTCCATTGCTCACTCTCCCACCCTCACTCACTTTCAGCAGGGAGTTGGGAAGGGGTGAAGGCTCTGACTGGAGGTGCAGGCTCTGGGGTGGAGCTGGGGATGAGGGGTTCAGCATGCAGGAGAGGGCAGGGGTACAGAAGAGGGTTTGGAGTGCGGGCTGTGGGAGGGAGTGGGAATGCAGCAGGGGGCCTCAGGGCTGGGGCAGGGGGTTGAAGTGTGGGAGGGAGGGGTGAGGGCTCTGGCTGGGCAGCGCTTACCTCGGGCAGCTTCCAGAAGCTACCAGCATGTCCCTCTGGCTCCTCTGCGTGCCGCCCCCGCCTGCAGGCACCACCCCCACAGCTCCCATTGGCTATGGTTCCTGGCCAATAGTAGCTGCAGAGTTGGTGGTTGGGGCGGGGGCAGCGTATAGAGACCCCCTGGCTGCCCCTGCACCTAGGAGCAGACATGCCAGCTGCTTTTGGGAGTGCCGTGGAGCCAGAGTAGGTAGAGAGCCTGCCTTCGCTCCGCTGCGCTGCCAACTGGACTTTTAGCGGCCTATTAAAATCTCCCAGATTCCTTTCAGTAGTCACTGGAAGATTGATGCCTAATCTGAAAGACTCCCGGCCAATCCGGGAGGGTTGGCAACCCTAGATTCAGCAGAAGTAAGGAAGAAGAAAAACAGAAGAGCCAATATAAGATGCCATTTTCCTCCCACTGGCACATTGTTTTTTCTAAGTTGAAGCTTAAGGTGCAGGTTTACCTGAAAAGTAGCTATGCAAAATGGTAACTTGGTACTCAGCAGATCTATCCATTGTGTGCATTCAGAGACCTGTCTATGTTAGTGTCAAAAATACCTTTTAACCAATTTTAACTCCTTGAGACGCTAGAACACAGCTAAAAGAGAATGAGATGAGTTCTTGTGCATCATCACCAGAATTTACTGATTTCCAATCAGTTACACTTCTGTTCTTCTGTTGAAGTCAATGAGACTTCATGGTCACTGAGAGCATAGAGGACAGGTGTAACTGAAAATCTAATGTAGCTAACAGAAACTTCATTATTTGTGATGATGCAAGAAATGGTAAGGATCTAATTTGACTTTTCAGGTTTATACAGTAGAACCTCCGTTACGGACACCTCGGGAATGGAGATTGTCCGTAACTCTGAAATGCTCATAACTCTAAACAAAGTGCAGTTTGGGCTCCAGATCCAGCAGCTGACACTTGAGGTCATGCTTCAGTTGAGCTGCTCCCTACTCAGCACCGGCCTGAGTTTGCAAGCTTGTCTCCCTCCTGACAGAGAGAGAGAGGGGTCTATATTTGTCAGGCTAATATAAAAATCAGCCTTGCAGTTAAAACCATTTGGTTAATCCATAAATGAGGTGTCCTAGGCAGAGTAGTGTCAGCCTTAATTTTGGAACTGTCTGCATTCAGTAACTTGAAATATGGTTACTGAATATTGTGCAACTTTGAAATAACTCAAACTGAATGATGCCTCCCTACCACTGTCCACTTCTGCTGGAACATACTGTAAATAATTAAGTATGTCTTACAGCTCTTGTCCCTGCTTTAGGTTGTGGGTGGTTGGGATGGTACTGGGTCCGACTGCTAAACTGAGTTAAAGTGCACAAATGCCTGGGATCAGACTCCATAAAAGCTGGGACATGCAGAATACCTAAGTCTGTGTTTTCTGGGTGCAAGGAGCTTGCTTTCTCAAAGTCTGAAAAAACTTTCATGGGTGCAGAAACTAGGAATTCCCGGGAGCTCCTGAGGCCCGTCACTATATAGGTGAATTTCTGATGAGGCACATTCATAGTGTTTTAAATTAATAATTCCAGACAACAGTAAACTCATGATTTTTTTTTAAAAACACTGTTTGAATCCATCTAAGCTTTTATTGGCTTAGTAACTCGGATTGTTAATATGAAACATCTTTAAATATTTAAAAATTGAGGCATATTGTTTTTTCCCCCCTTTTTATAGTTGCAATATTTCAGACTACAGGGCTTTTCAGGTGTCTTTCCCCTTGTGCACCTTATTGAATACTTTCTCCATTGGGTCTTTTGACACTTCATTGATGGCTTGTCTGAGCGAGAGGTGTACAAAAGCTCCACTGACCTGAAAAAATGTGTTGTGTATTCGTTGCTGCAGGGTGTGATTTCAGCTATTCTTGGTGTTTTGTGGACCATGTTGTATGTGAGATCTGAACTGTTCAGGTCAATTTTATCTCAAGTGTATTACCAGATGATTTTGTGTTTATACTGAAATTGTTTTCAAATGTATATGCAATACTTCTTAATGTTATGAAACATGTTATATAAATAGGCATCTTTTGTTTTAATTTAGATTTAACGAAGTCAGAAGAAATAATGGATGAAATATTACACTTTTTAAGTTAAAAGTATGACTTCTATCTATAGAAATAAAGTATCCTTTTTCTTAGATAAGAAACAAACTTGCTAATTGTAAGCAGAAATTGATCACTTTTCCAAAGGAATGAATACACATTTTACTGCGAGTTGGTTTGCATTACCCATTTCATCTTCAGTGCATATTCTCTTGTGTTGCTTTTGAGCAGGGTCTACACTGTTAAATAATTATAGCAATAATTCAAACAGCTCTTTTGTTTTGATGATAGTTGTGGATACACAATGGCCTTCAAAGGATTTTTTATTTACAGCCAAGTTGACTGCACAAATTCAGAATTTGAACCACCAACCTACTAGTTGAATATTAGCACAATGCAGTCAGCAAGTAGCCTAGTTATAAAGATAGCCAGTGATGTGAAATAATACTTCAGAATTATATTTTAGTCATTGTTTCCGAACTGGTACTGAACATACCTTTGTTTTTGGTTTCTTCTTGTCTAGATTTGCAATTAATCCAGCACTGGCTCACCTGCATCCATTATTGACACCTGTTGTAGACAAAGCTACTAGACTAGGAGTTAAGAAGGGGAAGATTTCATGTCTTTGCTGCTGCTGTTTGATTGTGTACATTTTTTGCAAGGTTACAGGACAGCAGCACATCTGAAAAAGAAATAGATGTAGTCAGCGCAGCAAAGGAAAAAACGCCTGATCCTATAAACAAATTTGTGTGTATTAATTACTACTATGAATGGAGCCATTGGGTCCAGTGATATCAATTATGGTAGTAAGCATGACTGTAGGCAGTGTCTTCAGGAACAGGCCCTTGAGAGGGTGTGTGTGTGTGTATATAAATAAGGATAGTGCTGTATTTTACCATTTCCCATGGTCACACTATCCTGAGAAGCAGTTGCTGGATATGTGGTCCAGATAGGAAAAATAGATGAAGTGTTACCACAAAGATGGTTATGCTTCATTAAAAGCTGCTGAAATCTAAGTATGCTTAAAGTGTCTTTTCAATCACATACATCTTTTTTCCCTAACCTACTAAGCACCACCTTAGCAAAGACTATTTGCATATAAATTAATATATTTTGCTATTAGCTACACAAGTATAAATCCAGAGTAACGCCATTGTCTGGCATCTTCAGTTTGAATTCAGTGGAGTAACTCTGAATTAACACGGGTGTAAGAGAGCAGAATTTGACCCTCAGTTGGAAGGTTCCCTCCAAACACTTGAATTATTAAGACGACACAAAATGAAACAAAAATAAACACAAGGAAAAAACACAAAATAAAGGGAAGGGGGAAAAGTGGCTGTGTTGTGTTCAATTTTTCCTCTCTCCTATAACTCTAAAATGGTGAAGAGATTTTTGTCAAACTTTCATGAAACAAAAAATAAATAACTTTGCCTCTGGTTCGGAGATGAAGCATATAGGCTAAGGGCTAGGGGATTGAATCAAGATTGTCAAAAGTGACTGATTTTTGGTTGCCTGGATTTTTGTGCACCCAAGGGGACCTATTCTCTGAAAATCAGAGCCCTTTACGAAGTTTGAAGTTAGGCACCCAATATTTGAGATGCTCAAAATCACTAACTCCTTTTGAAAATCTGGGCTGGAATTTTTCAAAGGTTAATTTTTCAGAATTTTGAGCATCTGAACAACAGGGTTAAATGCAGCCTTTAATATGACATTTGTTTGAAAAACTTCAGTACTTGTCACCTCTAAAGATACCAAAACCATGTATAAACCTTAATGATTGAAGGTTTGCAATACCCCTATTTTCAGATGGGGAATTTGAGGTATATTATCTGATTGTTGGAAAGTGGACCATGGAAGGGCAGCAAGTGTGAAACACAGCAGGCATAAATGGGCATGCGTCCATGTGCACACACACATTCACCTCATTGTTCATAGGATGGCTTCAGGGTGTTAAGTTGCTGATTAATAATATTTCAGACCTAATTATGAAAAGAGCAGCCTGCTTCTGAAACTATTACTAAAAGTGATGGTTCTTTTGAGCAAAAAGGGCAAGACATTCAAACAGCAGCAGCAAAGACATGAACTCTTCCCCTTCTTAACTTCTAGTTCTGGGAAGAACCCCGGCCGATAGTTACTGCCATGTAATCCGTAATTAGACACTTGTTTCTTTGTTTCTATTAGATGAATTGTGGTGTTTGAAGGCTTGCATAACTTTTTTGATGGCCAGGATCATAACACTGTCACAGCCTTTGTTAGAAAATATGTTTCCAATAAATATACTGTCTATTGTGCCTATGGTTGTAGGCGGTTGATTGTTCTTGAAGGATAAGGAAGTAATAAAGTGGAACGGAGAAGGTGGGAGGAAATCTTCAATTATCCCTTCTGTTTGTTGTTTTATCTCATAACAAGAAAATGTAAATAAAGGTGACAACCATTTCCTTTTAATTTGAATCTGCCTCTGACTTATTTGTGATAAATAAGTGCCAAATTCAGTGCTTTGTGGTGGTCTTTACATCTGATTATAAATTGACAACCAATTAATTACTATAAATGCATCTGATAAGTAAGCACAGAAACCAAAATATTATGGTTGAAATCCAACTTATTTTAAAAAGAATCAAATAAATCTCTTCATTTTGGCTGTACCTATCCAAGATGGATGGATAAATGCTAGGCAGCAGGGGTAGGCAACCTATGGCACACAAGCCAAAGGCGGCACGCGAGCTGATTTTCAGTTGCACTCACACCAGTCCGGGGGCTCTGCATTTTAATTTAATTTTAAATGAAGCTTCTTAAACATTTTAAAAACCTAATTTACTTTACATACAACAATAGTTTAGTTATGTATTACAGACTGTGACAAAGTTCCTCCTCTATTTTGGTGGGTCCTGTGCTTATTGGCAGATTTTCTTGCCTCAGAGATTCACCATGTGGGTTGGGAAACAGCCCAGAGACCTTCCCCTCTGGGAGAACCCACAGTCCAGGTCAATTGGGAGATTTGGGGGGAACTTGGGCCCGCCCTCTACTCCGGGTTCCAGCCCAGGGCCCTGTGGACTGCAGCTGTCTATAGTGCCTCCTGTAATAGCTGCATGACAGCTACAACTCCCTGGGCTACTTCCCCATGGCCTCCTCCAAACACCTTCCTTATTCTCACCATAGGACCTTCTTCCTGGTGTCTGATGATGCTTGTGCTCCTCAATCCTCCAGCAGCACTCCCTCTCCCTCTCCGCTCCTTGTGCCTCTTGCTCCCAGCTCCTCACACTTGCACCACGAACTGAAGTGAGCTCCTTTTTAAAACCCAGGTGCCCTGATTAGCCTGCCTTAATTGATTCTAGCAGCTTCTTCTTATTTGGTTCCAGGTGTCCTAATTAGCCTGCCTGCCTTAACTGGTTCTAGCAAGTTCCTGATTACTCTAGTGCAGCCCCTGCTCTGGTCACTCAGGGAACAGAAAACTACTCATCCAGTGACCAGTATATTTACCCTCTACCAGACTCCTGTACCCCACTGGTTTGGGTCTGTCACAAGACTCATAGAAACATTTTAATGTTTTTAGAAGGTATCTATTACCTGCACGCAAAGCCTTAAATTAGAGTGAATAAATGAAGACTCGGCACACCACTTCTGAAAGTTTGCCGACCCCGGCTTACAGTATAAGTCTAACAGTTGCCATAGATTAATTGTGTGCACTTCTGATATAGTGGTCTCAGTCTATATCAGCATTTTTTGTGGTGTTTGTGGGGGGTAATGATTTAACATTTAGAATTTGAAAAACCCAGAAGCTGATGTTTGATATTAACAGACTCATTTTCTGTTAACTTTTAATTTACAATTGATTATATCCCTCAGCCAGTTTAGGATTTTCTCCCAGTTCGTTACTTTAGCAGTCACTTAAACTGTATAAGGAGCTCCATCATACATGCGCAGGAAGCCTGAACTTAGCTTACATCCAGTAGCTTCTTAGTAATAGCAAAGATGAAGTAATTTCAGTAATAAACAGTTCAGGGATGTAAACTGTAGATATGAACACTAATTAATCTGTTGATAAGATTAAATGTATGTACCCATTTAAACAGTGTTTGTTTAGTATTTTACAAATAAGTTAAATAAGACAACAGCAAAACAATTAAAAATACAAAATTATAAAGGCAAATATAGTTATTGAAACATTAGCAATATGCAAAAAAGAATAGAAAGTAATACATCTTTTGAACTATTTACAACAACGATATTGTTTGCTCTTGATGCTGAAATAAAAGCAAAATCAACTTGTTTATGGTCTCTTCTTTTTAGGATGCATATCTTTTTATCATCTTTATATATACATGTCTTGACCCTACGTGACATACTTCATGTGAGTGCCTTTAAAGTATACAATAGAAATAGGATGCAGCATGTGGGAAATGAAATTGAAATATACGTCCTTATTTTTGTCTATTGTAGAATAAGGCATGTTTACTTTGTATAGACAGGATCATATTTGAAATTCAGACTCTTTGAAACAGCTATCAAAATCACACACTTAGACACAGTTTTTCATCATTCAAAGAGTGGAATGCAGTGAAGCACAAATATAAACTTTGAACTCTTGTAGGAAACAGTCTACATGTGTGATCTAAGCATATGGGGAAAAATTTGAATAAATAAGGGTTGTTGGTTTTATTTCAATATTCATTTGTAAAATGAATGTTGTAATAATGATTGTGAAATATAAAATGAGTCTATTAAGCACTGGAACAAATTAGCTAGGGAGGTTGTGGAATCTGTCATAGGTGGTTTTTAAGAAGAGGTTAAACATCCCCCTGTCAGGAATGTCTAGATAATATCTAGTCCTGCTTCAGTGTTGGGGACTGGACTAGATGACCCATTAAGGCCCATTCCAGCCCTACATTTTTACAAGTTTATTAATATACTTGTAAATGGAGATGACAAGTCAGGTGACAACATTCATATTTAGTTTTGTCAATACTAGGGATTACTGTGAGAACTCCAGAGGGGCCAAACAGAACTGGGAAATTGGGCAGCATGGTGGCATATCTAACTCTTTTCAGATAAGTATATGATAGCTCTAAATCCATCAGTGGATGGATTAAATTATTTGAAGCCTTTCAGGAATAAGATGGAGATATTATTGTAGACAGGTCAAGTGTGACTGCTCAGTGCATAGCAGTAGATTTAAAAGTGAATAAGGTATTCTGCTGTGTTTTAGGGGAGAGAGAAATATGCTGAAAATGTTTTGTAATTACATAAATCAGTGGTACCATTATGTGTCCAGTTTTGGTCTTGTTTGCTTCTAAAAGGCATAGCAGAAATCAAAACAAGGACCAGAGAAGGGCAGCAGAAGTCACTAGAGGAATGGGGTAAGTCCACATGAGACTGACTGAAAAGATTAGGAGAGTTAGAGGGATATGATAAAGCCATGTAAAATAGTTGAAGGTGTACAGAGAACCATCTCTTTAACCTTAAGCATAAAGAAATAAAGACAAATTTGCCATTAACAAGCAACATATGTAAAGTGAATTCAAGGAAATATCACTTTATATAACATATAAATAATTTATGAAATTTGCTGCTTCAGAATATTATTGAATCAGATATTCAATCAGTTTCTCTGGAGAAAAAAAATAATTGTTATAAACATTAATCTTACCAGCATTTATATTTGTCATGATTTAAAAAAAAAAGTTCAGTCCTAATGCTTCATCCATACACTGATCAGATCATGAAAAATGGCTTTTTCATCACTTTTTCTACCATGAATATGGTTTTGCACACTTACTGTATGCATTGTTGAGTTTTCTGGCATCCTCAGAAGCATCTAGCATATGTCACTGTTAGAAATTGGATACCAAATGAGATTGACCATTAGATCCTTTCCAGTCTGGCAAGTATTTTATTCTGTAACAGTCTTGTCATCTTAAATACTTTTGCTTAAGGTATCCTGCCAAAATAAAACATTTTTCACTGCGATATTCATACTTTAACATTCCATGGATGGTAATTGCAAGTACCAGAAGGTTTGGAAATTCGGTTCTGATGTTTATCTTAACCTCCAAAAATTCAGCAAACTCATCAGACCCTCCTCCTTCCAGTTAAACTCTACTTTTATCACTAGTGGTGCCAGGGACTTCCTGGAGATACTATTTTTCTCTTCCTCAACCTTTTCTTCTCAGGAATATGTCTTTTGAGATGAACTCAAGGAGACTTACCTGGTACTCTGAGGAATGAGATTTTCCAGCTTTTCTTTTATTCTTTGCCCCAGTAGGGACTGTTCTTGAGTCACATTCTGTCCCAAAAGGATTCCATGCTTTATAGACATGTCAAATTCAAAACTCCCATCATAAACTTTGAGATCAGAAGCAGGGCCAAACCAAGTTGAGAAGGCCATCAGACATCACTATGGAAAGCAAGGGAGTTAAATTAAAGCACTCACGGACCTCCAAATAGATTAGAATATGATTTGAATGGTAGACAAAAGTATAACTAGTTCTTATTTTGCCCATCCCTGAATCATGACCAACATTTGGAAAAATGGCTTATCTAAGACTAGAGTCTAGAAATGTTGTGCCTGATCGTGTCTCGTTGACTTTGATGGGAGTCAGTGGTGTTCAGAATCTCTTGAAGTGCACTGTGCAGCTTTCAGAAAGTCCTTTTTAGAAGGCAAGTTTTCAGTGAGGTTTAAGCTGCAGAACTTGTGTAAAGATTATTCCTATATTAAGTCTTGCTAGTCTTGATTTCCCATTATACCCTAAATAACAGTATCCTGGCTAATGCCAATTGCCAGGAGCTCTATAACAAAATTGAATCAGAGGGGAGATAATGGGTAACCCTGCTGTGTCACCCTGCCAAGTGTGAATGATAAATAAATGGATCCATTAGTAATAATTAAATCAATTTTGGAATATAGTAATTTCCCCTAGCATATAATGATCACAGACCCAAATCTATCTTAAAAAATAATAATAAAAAAACAAAACAGAGGCTCCTAATTATTTTCCATGACTTCTCAGCAACTAAAGACAGCAACAAATCTTTTATTTTATCTTTAACTATTTCAGATCTAAAGTAAACAAATATATAGACATTTCTTCAAAACATGTTTGATGGTTCTTTCTGTGTTTGTGATATATGCACACCGTTTCCTACCTACTCACAAGTGGTTTTTATATATCATTTTGAAACTAAATTAATAAAGTAAGCCCATAGCTAGAGTCTGGAGTCTTATCGGTTCTTAATATAGCTGAGATCAGAGTGGTTTCTAGAAGCTGGTTGTCTCCCACTCGTGCCCTGAGAAGTCAACTGATATAGTCAAGGTCAACATAAATATATTTGTTGCGGCAAGTCATATAAAACATTTTGTCTTGATCTAGAGCCTTTCCCTAATGCTGAAAAATCCATCACCCATTTTTAATTTTGTAAATTAATGCCATGTAATTTTGCTCTAGAAT